AGTCCAGAGAGAGAAAAATGTAGTCTAGTTTGGTGAGAAGTAGGTGATTATTTCTCGTTATTTGAGAGAAGGTATGAATGGAAGGGATACCAGCGAGAACTTGCGTGTCAACTAGAGATAACAGCTTGTCCGACAAAATTGAAACAGAGGGATCTGGTCTTGAAATTAATGTTGATAGGTGATTAGTTGGAATAAGATTGACATTAAAGTCACCAATAAGAATATAATTGCCATTACTGATGAAGGGGGATTAGGAATCGAGAAACAAAAGCCTCCTTTTCCTATCCAGAGGAATATAAATAGTTTTGATTCTAAAGATATGAGAGTTGAGTAAAGTCTAAGATTAGGTTTCGTTCATTTGTTGAAAAGGTGTTGATGACTTTGATGTTGCGATTGTTAATTAGAATAGCAATGTAGGGAGTCCAGGAGAAGAATGAGTGTCATTTTTTAAAAACAAAGGAGATGTTTTGTTTTTGAATATTAGTTTCTTGTAAAGTGAAGATGTCAATGTGATTATACATTTTAAGAAGATTGGCTGTGTTTGAGAATTTGTGAGGGGTGGTCAGGCCTTTCACGTTGAGAGTAGCAATTTGGAGATTCATTTAGGAAGAGAGATTTTAGACCGAGTATTATGTTGCTTGATAGGAGGTTGAGAAGATTTCTTTTTAGATTTTCTGTTTTGAACAAGTTGAAAGTCTAGTTCATTATTAGATGAGGTTACCATTTCTACTGTTTTTTTCTGGATAGTGATGAGTTGATTGGAACTATCCTGGGAAAAGGAAGTAGTGTGTGTATGGTTGGTTGAAGGTTGTTGTGGGGAAGAGAGGTTGGTATTAATATTAGTAACCTCCTTGGAAAGAATAGCAGTTTCTGCAGTTGACGTATCTGGGGGCTGAGATTGTTGAGTTTGTAATATGTCATTATTCCAAGATCATTCGACAGAAGGTTGTTATTTACGAGAGTTGTTAGAGGATTTGGGAAGATTAGAATCAGGATTTCTAACAGAAATGTTGGCATTTCAAAGATTCTTACAGTCACCTCTTTTGTGACCTGATTTGCCACAGAAAGTGCAGAAAGAAGGAGCAGCTTTCCAGGTTATGAAAACATTGGAGAACTTGATTTTGATAGATCTAGGGATCTTGGTACAGAAGGTGAGTTGATCTTCTTAGGTTGTAGTGTCGAAGGTAACTGACTACTTGTCTGAACAGAGAGAAGTGCCTTCCCAGAGTTTGGGTTTGATAACGGCTACTTTTCCTATTTTATCAAAGGTTTCTTTGATAGTAGAGGTAATTTCATCACTTTGGGAGAGAGAAACTCTGGAAAAAGTGATAGAGAAGAAAGTTTTTTGGTTAGAGAAAGCTCTTTGAGCTTTCAGGTTTTTGCCAGCTATAATGAGAGTTTTAACTTTCCATTTCAGTTGAGATTCTTCAGAAGCAAAAGCAACTTCTAGATAGGTATATTTATCATGAGCGTATTTTAGCTTGGCACCAAATGCATCAGTGCCAAATTGAAGATGAGAAGAGGAAATAAGTTGATTGTCTGGGATGAGTTAAAGTTGCAAAATATCATATATGAGAGGAAAGTCACTATCTGTTTGAAGAAAGAGATCATAATCTTTTGCGATATTGTAAGTTGGTTTGCCCAAGACATATCTAGCAGCATTGGCATAGGAAGAAGGTTTCTTTCATGAGAGTTTTTCTTTTGGATTTGTGAGAAACTTGGAGTTATCTGAAGAGATTTCCTGATTAGATTAGTGGGGCTGTGTAGTATGGGATCTCCTAATGTGATGATGATCAATCACGTTGTTGAATTCTGGATTAGGTGAGTTATTGAAATTACCATTACCATAATTATACATGTGAAAGGGAGAGTAATGGGAATAAGATAGAAAATTGTCATACATGGCAGGAGGAAAAGGGGTTGGGGAATAGTAAGGGGCATGACGAGATGCATCTAGATTTTGATGTGGGAGAGAAAGTCATTCATCATGACCGGATAGGGTGCCGGATTCCATAGCGAAGGAAATTCTTCGCTTGTTTTTTTCTTTAGTTTGTCTGGTAAAAGGATGTTCAGAGTCACTATCCTGGCTTTCTTCATCTGAGATAAATGCCCAGGTGTGTTTGGAGACAAGACCAGGAGAAATTTCATTAAGTTCTTGCTGAAGAGGAACACAGTTTTGAGTTTTGGAATTTTGTGAGGCGTTCTTTGAGATATCCGTGAGATGTACAGGTGAAAGAGATGACATTTTTTTTCATATTATTTCTTTTACTTTGTTTGATAGTAAATATTTAGTGTTTTCTCTAATCTGATCATTATTAATCTTCATATTATAAAAATTATACTTCATGTATATCCTACTGTTGACTTTCATCCTATTATCTGTTTGAATATTATTTCTGACAAGGTATTCTCATCTATCTCTCATTATGGGTGGATTCTGATTCGGATAAACTTTCACTTCCTTTTCAAGTTCAAATTTGCTTTCTTCAGACTCTCGTAGAGATACAAGTCTATACATTATCTACCAGGAGTATTACATTATAATCATCATATCGCTCGGAATTACATGAAATTAACCATTTAGAACAAAATCATATGTTGATATATTCCAATCAGACCAACTGTAACCATAATTCCGGCATCAATTGTTGGTAGATCAATATGAATATTTCAGCTACTAGGATTCTTCAGGTCCATCATAATCAATATAATCCATTTTAGCATTATCATTACTTTCAGTAATGTATTAGAATAAAATAGCTTTCCCCAACCTCATCGCATTTCTAGTATATCAGGATCAAATTTCCATCAGCATGTAATTTCCCCTATTTCTTCCTAGCCACTGTGATTAAATATATAGTATATATATTATTCAAAATAACAAAAATATCTAGTCGATCTATATTCATTAATGCCATATATTTTGACAGCAAAGCACAATAATCACACTGGAAAATCCAGCTTTTCTTATTCTATACAGTATTCATAATATAAGTATTATATCCAAAATGCTATCTTACCCTTCATAGAGATATTTTGTTTTATTAATGCATGATTTTGCAAGCAAACATAAGCTAATGAATAGGCTTCATCAATTAGGAATATAATTAACAAATGTGATTGTTGGATAAAATAAAGTCTAAAAAAGCTACATTTGAATCTATTACTTCATGTAATATGGAGTTATATCGCCCATTTTCAAAAATGAAACAATAATTATAACTATATCATACTATTTGATTTTCACCTGCAGGACAAGTTATAACATTTATTCCAGCTTCCACGACTATTGTGTATGTTGAAAAATTCTTATCTCCAACTTATAAGTTATAGATAATATAAACATTCAATCTTCTGTGGTATCTCCGGGATACTTACTATATATGAAATATTTTGTTTTCAGATTCTTACGGAATTATATTAACTGGAGCCATGATCCAATAGACACCTTCTGGATAAATGAAACTTATGTTTTGTCAGATAAGAGATTATATGAACATATCCGAAAGATTGAAGAATATTTTGATTCTTGGAGTACATTATAAATAATAATGTGCTATCAAACATTGAGAATGTGAACAAATGGAGATAATTTTCAACATCTTGTAATAAATATCGAAAAGGGAGTTTTGGATGATTATAATAAAAATAAGATTTTCTATTGGCAAAAAAATATTTTTCTATCGTCAAACTAATGAACCTATAACACTACCATCAGCTATATTCTTACCAACAAGATCTGAAAATAATGAACAAATAATTAAAGAATTATTTACCTTTATACACATATATATCTATAGCATTCTCATCCCAGTTAGTTCATGAATTTGCCCTATAGAGGACTATGATATCGGAATAACTATTGTGGCAATAAGAATTGGGGAAGATGATTTTCCCATATGTGAAACCATATATAATTAGAACACTAGCAATGATAAAATTCAATTTTAGAGTTAATTGAGGAGTATAAGGTGAAATAATTTTGAGAAAAAAGAATAATCATGTGTGTTGGCATTTCAGCGTGCAACAGAGAACACAGAGAACAATGAAGAACTAAAAAAAATCAATGATTTAATAAACAAGCAAGCAGCCTTAATTTCAAAGTTGCATCACCCAAATGATGCAATTATTAACTTTGCCATCATCATGCAATTAGAAGATTGCTTACTGAAAGACAAATATGAAATTTATGTAGAAGGAAATCCATTTATCAGCCACTCTTATGGCATTTTTCAGTCATTTGGATCGGTTTACAAATGACCAAACAATACAATTCGGACGTCATCAACAATCCTTTTATGCAATATCAAAGCTGTCTATTTGGATCAAATACTGCATAATATCTTGAAAGTTCAAACATCAAAGAAAAAATTCATTGATACTGAAGCCACACATTATGATACAATATTTAATGATGTGGAATTTGATGGTACAGAGACTGTATTATTTCTTGCGTTTTTGCTGGTGCTCTTAATTTAGATATTATTGCAAATCAAATAATATTGACAGATCATTCCTAATTGAATATCATAAACATCTGGAAGAATTCTGCAACAATATCTCCCTGTCTACCATTAGCACTTCAAATTCGATCACTTGGAATTTTATCACTTATGCGACATGTTTATTCGTGGACTTTACCTTTTAATGACATATCAGCATCAATTACTCGAAATATAAGTGGTTACACTTGGGTAAATTATTTTCAAAGAAGAAAACAACAGACATTCTTGGAGCAAATACGATGACACTTTGCGCTGTGCCATTTGTTAATTTCTATTCGAATAATCAAAATGTTCCATCATTTAGCAAAAGTGATTTCCAGCATAATTTTGTTAATAGAAACTATGAGGATTGGCTGTATAAGCTGAAAGCATTTCGGGAAAAAAATAACCACATAGATCAAGATTCACCTATCCTATGAGTCCTTTCTCGTGCTTAATTGATCAGATATCTAATTTGCAAATCACTGATCTAAAACTGACATTTTTCGAAATTCCATGGATGAAAAGGCTTTTGATATGGAAGCTGGAGATATTTGTGACTCGAATATTTATCCAATGGCTTTTAATACAGTACCAATGTTGGTCATGTTTAATACAAATTTTTTGAATAGTTTACTTATCACTTTATCGGACCAGCCTATCCGAAGAGCAGAAACAATCGTCATCACGATGATCCAATTACTTACTACTTTATATTTGACATTTTATAAATTGAAACAGTGTTTAAGACAACTAAGATACTATAAGATATTTTATAATTATGTTAATTATGTTGATTGGCTAACAATGACGTAAGCAATTTAAAATGATTTTCTCTTTGAGAAGATGCCCTCAACATACCTTTTTTAATCATCGCTTTATCGTTATCGTATTAATAGGTTTTTCATACATAATGGTCTTTTGATAACCTACTATCAATTTTATTTTATTGCTTTTTCTACAATGATTATGTGATTCAACCTCCTTCTTCAATTACGATTTTATCAACCTACTTATTTGAATCCAGTTGATAGTGATTACAGACATGATTAAAGGCGTAGGCTGGTATTTGCTTTTGCTTGATGGAATTATACTTGGATTCTCCTTTATACTGTTCTTTGCTTTTCAATTTGACCCCTCTGAACTTTTTATGGGAATGACAAATTTCCTTAAATCTAATCATGACATGTTTCAACCTCAAATTACTTATACCATTATTCAAGCATTATTTACACGCATTATACCACTTTTGATTAACGTTTTAATTGCATTACTTTCTTTAAACGTTGAAGACACGATGTAAATGATATATACTGTATACATGACTTATATTAAACATATTCTGATTCTTTGAAAGTTGTTAATTATTAATTTATGACCGTGTTTTTATACAATAGCTTTACCAAGCAACCTTGTTAATTATTGAAGTAGAATGATTTTTCTTACAGATTTGGAATGAATTCATCGTAAAAACTGGTTTCAATTTGGTTTCAGTACACAGTTAAATAAAAGAGAGAGACATGAATGGAAATAAAGAATGAAAATAAAAAGGTAGAGTTTCTATCTAATACCCTTGGACTAAAGTAGTACAGCATTAGTATATTTAATTATAATCTACAAAAAGTAGAGATCTTAATGCTTACAAAAGTGGCGTGGTGTGGTTGTTTATAAAACCAAATTATCTAACAAAGATATCGACAGTATTAGAAATTTACCGATATTGAATGTCTTGCAAAAAGAATTTATATAATATCATATACTAACTGTTTACAAGTGGAATCATGAAGAAAATAAATTTACAAGATCTAATGAGGATAAACGCGCTGTTGAGTTGATATTACGTGATTCAAAGCAAATTATAAACGAGCGATTTTTAATGTGTAAACAAGAACTTTTTTATAATTACAGTATACTATTAAACGATAGTTTGTACTGCTCTAAAGTACAGTGATCCATAATTTGGAGTAAATTATTATGGAAAAACTGAAACCAAACTTGTTAATTATATATTTTATCAACTCATAATATATATATATGCAATGTGTCAAAGTCATAAGATTACCTATATATAAAAATAAATGCAAACAATTGTATCGGTTGGAATTGAAATTAACTTTGGAATAAAAAATTAGACTTGCGTAAATTGCATTTGGTGGAATTAATCATTTTTTGGTGGTAAGTAGTATTTTTACAATTTCATCTTCTCATCAAGCTATACCTAATTTCTTAAATTCTTGCTCCAAATTCTGTTTTAGATTATTCTAGCGAGCTGTATGGAAAAAATCAGAAGTTTCTTCTGCTTACTGGAATAGGTTCCAAATATTTTTTTTGATAATAAATTTGTATTATGCGAAATACTATTCTTTAACGTAGGTAGGTACACCTTATGGCTTTGCTCACCAAATGATCGTTTGTTTCAATTTCGAATATAACCATAAACATCTGTAATGTTAGTGTGTGGCTTTCCATTTAACACCTCTGGACTCAGAAAAATGTAAACCAAGAGTAACTTCCTTTATATAATATCTATATTTGCTATAATGGCAAGTTCAAAGATAACAATTTGAGGATTAATAATAGATTTTCTAACTATTTAATTTTTCATTTCAAGTCAATTTTTTCGTAGATTCCCATCTTTGCATAAGCCATTGTAACTGGAATTTTAGTTACTCATAATATATTATATTGCCGTAACCATAACATTCAAAAGCAGTCAGAATCTCTCTTTGAAATGCCCGACTATATTAGAAAATAAAAGGAAATTTCATTTAAAATGTTCATTCTTTTACTTTATTTATAAACTTCGAAGTAGTTTGTATTGAAATGTGTAATGATTTAACACAACTTTAATTTCACTTCATTTAAATCTAACTTCTTCATGATTCCTCTTGTCATCAACCAGGTTACTTTACAAAGTCCTTCTTTTGCAAGATATAATATATTGATAATTAATTTTTTGCATTCTTTTATCAGTTTGTCGATATCTTTATCTCTGTGAGATTTGAAAAAGTCAACGCAATGCTCATATTTTTCACTACATTTATTACAATCGATTTTAAACACTAACAGCGTCGACATTTACTACAATCATGTATATTTTAAATATGTCGAAGATAAACTGTAACGGTTATAATTGATTCAATGTGTGTTAATAAAATACATGTACATGCATTGTAATGTTTATAATATATGTACAGTATGTCTTATTATGCATGTATTAGTAGGTTGATTTCTTAGATTAAACATGTACAGTCGCCTCGAAAAGTAACGCCCCGATTTTCAATTATCATAAAACTTAAAATATAATTTCGATTTATTTTATTTTTTCATATTATACATAAAAAAATTAT